TGGGTGTGCCCACCCGTCTGGGCCGCCTTAGGGTCCCCCGTGCCTGGATGAGGACATCCTAGGAGGGGTGTCTCCCCCTCCCCTCCCCCTCCCTGTCTGTGGCCTCCACAGCCCCCCACATCCCCTCCGGCACCCACTGCACCCACCCCTGCTCCCTGGCCAGGCTGAAGTTGCAGTTGTCCTGGGCCCTGCGCAGGTCGCGCTGCTGGCGCTGCTGTTGCCGCTCAAACAGGAGGGTGGCCCGAGCCCCCTGAATACTCCGCCGGGCCCAGTCCATGTCTCGCTGGCGCTCTTCTTCCTGGAGTCTCTGCAGGGAGCACAGGTGACTCAGCACCACCTTCCCAGGGCCAGGAGCCCTGGAATCCTCTGGAAGACTTGACTCACACCTTTATAGATGGAGAAACTAAGGCTCGGGAAGGTGGCCAATGACATGCAGGAAGTCAGAAGGGAGTCCCTCCCCAACCAGCCCTCATTCCATGTGACCTAGCTGCCTCCCACCGTGGGGGGCCCTTGGCTGTCCTTATACTCCTGAAAGGACAGCAGAGACACGATTCCAACAGCCATCCCGGTCTGAGGCTCCCACAGGCAGGCCTAAGCCCAGGGTCCTCTGGGATCTTCCAGAGGTTCCCTGACTTAGCTGGCAGTCAGATCCCAACCCAGCAAGCATCTGCCTGTGCTTCCATGCCACTGAGCACAGGGACTACCTGGAGAATTTCTAGAACGTGCTGATACCACAGCCCCACCCAGGGAAAACTCCACATTTCTGCATTTCAGCCCACTCTTCATTGTCCTCCAGATCCCTCTATGAGAACTGCTAAGCCCTAGAATTAGTGTAGAGGAGAGAGTTGCTTCCTAGTGTGGTCAGCCCTGCCACTGGACCAGCTTCTCCTGCTCCCTAGGGGGCAAAAGATGAGCCCCTCCACCCATTCCCCTGGAGGGCAGTGGCTCTGCAGGCCTGGCTTAGCCCACCCAGAACTGAAAGGCCAGGGGGTGCCCGGCTTTCCCATGAACAGGTTTTGCCTTGCTCCTGTAAACCTCACCTATGAAGTAAGGCTGCTTGCAGGGGCCTGGGCCACCACATGAGCTGCTTTGTCACAAATGTAGTGACAGGGGACACACTCTGCTGAGGCAAAGCAGACCGACCTGCTATAGTTTGCATGATCCTAGTTTTCTGAGTCACCCTCCATGCATAGAAAAGGGATAGGGAGGAAGGCTGCCAGTGGGCTTGGGCAGTTCTGAGCCAGGAGACTGAAGGTGGGCTTTCTCCCTTCAGACTTTTCCATCTGCTAATGTTCCACACAGACTAAAGCACTGTGCAGGGCATGCAGCTGGTGCTGCTGTTGCTGTTCAAACAGCAGCCGTCCCGCCAGCTGGCCGGCCAACTGCAGCGTGAAGGGCAGAGTAGGGTCCACAGAGTCCAGCCTTGGGCACTCTCCACCTGGAGGTTGGCAGGGCTACCCAGGTCCAACCCCTACACTGTTGCACACTTGCTGCTCAGGCCCTGGTCCAGGCCCGGCTGCAGCCCTTTGTCCTCTCCAGCCTGGAGGTACGTTCTCTGACGGTTTGAGAGCCTCTTCAGATCCCTGGCTCCTCAACAGACCCAGCCCTGACTCTCCAGCTGCCCACCGCTGGGCAAACCCTAGCAGCGGTTCTCAAGCTACAGCAGACATCAGAATCCCCTGAGCTTTACTGAGCCACTGCCCCTGCTTCAGGGTTTCTGACTCTGTAGGTCTGGGGTTGGTCAGAGAATCCTATTTTTCTCACTCTCTTCCCTCTCATGCCCTTAGAGTCTACCCTTCACATGGCTGCTCTTAAAATGGAAGTCAGATCCAATCACTCCTGGCTCTAAACCCTCCAGAATTTCCCTTCCAAGTAAAGCCAATATTTTCCCTAGTGGCCTGCTGGACCCTCTGTGGCCTTGGACCTGCCCCTCTCCCCTCTCTCATGCTGCCGTTCCTTACCCTTCTCCCAGAGTCAAACATGGGCCTGCCCCAGGGCCTTTGCCCTTTCCGTTCTCCCTGCCTGGTCACCCTTTCCCAGAATTCTGAATGGTTAGCTTTTCCCTGAAAATCTGAAATCTGAATGGTGTCAGCTCCAATGTCACCTCTGTCCCCTGACTGCTCCCCTCAGGCCCAACACTCCTAATCACCTTGGCCAGCCTTACTGTTCTTTCTCAGCACTCATAGCCCTTGAGGTTCCATACTTGTCACCTCCTCCCACCAGAGCGGAATGCCCAGGACAGGGCATAATGGACAGTGGCTACACCTGGATGCTGGGGCAGGGTACAAGGTAGATGGGCGCCCACTGGGATCTGTGAGAAGGGCTGGGGCAGGCACCAGCTTCTCCTGGACTTGCTGTTTCTGGACCAGGCGGATCTGCTCCAGCTGTTCTCGGGTCATGCCCTTCCAGCGGTCGGGAACCACGCGGTGGGGCCCAAAGGAGCTGGCTGCCTGCTGCGGGTTCTCGGAGAGCAAGTCCCCACGAAGCAAGTTGGAGATCTCGGCCAGGTTGTCTTCCTGTTCCTGCTTCTTCTCTAGTTTCTTCCTTTCTGCTGATTCCAAGGTCTAAGCAAAGAAAGGCATTTAGACACCCCTGGTGATTCCTGGGGACTCAGAGGCAGAGGTCAATCTAACCGGAGGCCTTTTGAGGTCAGGATGAAGGGTTGGCGAGTAGACCTGTCAGGCATGGATGTGGGAGGGCCATGGGAGCCCTGGGGTCGTAAGAGCCCTGCGGGGCAGCAGCCAGGGCTGAAGGGTGGCTACCTGCTGGGCGTGTGCATAGAAGCTGGGAGTCTTTGCACCAATCTGCTAAAGCAGGGCACTGCCCCTGTGTCAGGCTGCCATTCCACAGGCCTGGTCCCATCCTGGGGCCCTAGTAATCCTCAGATATCTGTGGCCCCCAACCGACCCTCAGCAGAGTGACTCGTGACTGCAGTGACGTCTCAAAGGTGGAAAATGCACAGTCCCCTTCACTGGTCTTGATGGCTTCAGCCACAACCCCTGGTACAAGTGAACCCTGATCAAGTTGCCGCTCAAATCCCTGAGGAGGCCCAGAAGGTGTACCCAGCCAGGGTTGCTGGTATGACCCTAAGGCGGGGTATGCCAGGAAGCTGCTGCATGCTCGTCCTCCCCTGGAGACACTGAGGCAGGGTGTACCTGGCTCTTGTTGAACTCTTTCACAGCTGCACAGACCCCCTTCCTGGTGGCACTCTCCAGATTCTGTAGGTGCCTGGCTGTTTCATCAAACTGTAGCCTTGTCTTTGTGTACAAGTCCTCTGAAAGGGAACGAGGTGCAATCACGCCAAACACCCCAGGAGCATCCTCCCGGGTATGCTGAGCAGCAAGCAGCTCGGTCATTCACACATTCACCTCTCACTGTGTCTTTGGCCATAAGGACGATGATGGGAATAATAGTGACAGGGCTGGCCTCTGGAGGCTGTTGGTTTAGTCTGATGAGCTAATTTCAATAAGGCTATCCAATGGGTAAATGGCATTAGATAGGTGACATGATCACTACTAGGGGTTGATAATGTCTGCTATCAATTAGTACTGTCTGCAGTGGCCCAGAGATAGGCTAGTGGTGTGCACCTTGCTGTCCCTGGTCTATCAGAAAGCAGCTACAGGGGCCTAGAGATGGTGGGAGCTCAGAAAAAGGGGCTGTAGAAATCAGACAAGAATCCAGAGAGGAGGGGGTGCCAGGTAAGTTATCTGCAGAGTGGCAGAAGGACTTTGTAAGGCCAGCAAGATCAAGGAGGGAGAAGAGCTGGAGAAGATGGGTCAACGTAGACTGACCAAACCATAAAATGGAAAGATGTGAAAGCAAGCAGTGCAGGTACATGCGCCACACAGGCTTTTCCCAGTTCTATTAACCTCCGGTGTTCCTTGATCTCTGAGCCTTAGCGTCCTTCCCTGCTAGGCAGGACAACACCTACTTTGCAGGGTTGTTACATTTTAAAATGCTGCTAATTGGGGGACATGGTGGTTGAAGTACTGAACTTCCCACATGACCGACCATGGTTCAAGTCCCAGACCTGGTGATTTGCTTTCTCACTTTCCTTCTCTCTCTGTCTCTCTCTGGTGAACACATGTGAAAACATAATAATGATAATAAAGTAAAATAAAATTTTAAAATGCTGCCAATCAAAAGCTTCATTTGGTATTTGTGTACTGCGAATCTCCCCATTCCCTCCAAAAGCAAAGGTTAAACTCCTTGGGCTTGACTCTCTGGCCTCTGCTGACCTTCAGCCTCATCTCTCACTCTTCCTTTGTTCTTTTTTTTTCATTAATTGAACATCTAGTGAACAAGAGTCTAACAGGGGTCTTTCTTCAGGAACAGATAGTACCTAATGGTGAGTACAACATAACAGGCTTTCCTTGCATTTCTGGAACTTGCTGTCTAGGAGATAATGATTTACACTTGGGCCCCAAAATATATGTGCCAAACAAACTGTGACTGTGCTACAGGGGAAAAGGTGACTGGGAGAGAAGGGTGGGAATACCTGACTCAGGCATGTAGTTGGGAGTGGGCAGTGAGATGGCTCTCTAGGAGAAAATGCCTTACAAGTTGAGGCCTGGAGGCCAGAACAGCTAGACGAGAGCAGGTGCAAAGGTCTGCAATGAGAAGTGACCTGGGGAGCCAGCAGTAAATGTGCCAAGATGCCCAGAACACAGTGAGCAGGGTGGGGTGGGGCCAGAGGCCCCTGTGTACAGAGCTTGGCTGTGAGAGGCTTTTGCATTTGATCCCATGTGCAATGGGAAGGAATTAGAGTGAGCTAGGCTGGGATGGAGGGGGTGAGGGTGATGTGGTTGAACTTGACATTGGTTAAGATTGTCCTGACCACTGTGTTGAGAAGGAACCAGAGAGAGGCAAGAGAGGAAGCAAGCAGTGCAGGTACATGCGCCACACAGGCTTTTCCCAGTTCTATTAACCTCCGGTGTTCCTTGATCTCTGAGCCTTAGCGTCCTTCCCTGCTAGGCAGGACAACACCTACTTTGCAGGGTTGTTACATTTTAAAATGCTGCTAATTGGGGGACATGGTGGTTGAAGTACTGAACTTCCCACATGACCGACCATGGTTCAAGTCCCAGACCTGGTGATTTGCTTTCTCACTTTCCTTCTCTCTCTGTCTCTCTCTGGTGAACACATGTGAAAACATAATAATGATAATAAAGTAAAATAAAATTTTAAAATGCTGCCAATCAAAAGCTTCATTTGGTATTTGTGTACTGCGAATCTCCCCATTCCCTCCAAAAGCAAAGGTTAAACTCCTTGGGCTTGACTCTCTGGCCTCTGCTGACCTTCAGCCTCATCTCTCACTCTTCCTTTGTTCTTTTTTTTTCATTAATTGAACATCTAGTGAACAAGAGTCTAACAGGGGTCTTTCTTCAGGAACAGATAGTACCTAATGGTGAGTACAACATAACAGGCTTTCCTTGCATTTCTGGAACTTGCTGTCTAGGAGATAATGATTTACACTTGGGCCCCAAAATATATGTGCCAAACAAACTGTGACTGTGCTACAGGGGAAAAGGTGACTGGGAGAGAAGGGTGGGAATACCTGACTCAGGCATGTAGTTGGGAGTGGGCAGTGAGATGGCTCTCTAGGAGAAAATGCCTTACAAGTTGAGGCCTGGAGGCCAGAACAGCTAGACGAGAGCAGGTGCAAAGGTCTGCAATGAGAAGTGACCTGGGGAGCCAGCAGTAAATGTGCCAAGATGCCCAGAACACAGTGAGCAGGGTGGGGTGGGGCCAGAGGCCCCTGTGTACAGAGCTTGGCTGTGAGAGGCTTTTGCATTTGATCCCATGTGCAATGGGAAGGAATTAGAGTGAGCTAGGCTGGGATGGAGGGGGTGAGGGTGATGTGGTTGAACTTGACATTGGTTAAGATTGTCCTGACCACTGTGTTGAGAAGGAACCAGAGAGAGGCAAGAGAGGAAGAGGGAGACAAAGAGAGAGCAGTTGGCAGGAGTCACACAGGTGAGAAGCGGTGGTGGTCTGAACTGCAGTAGTGACAATAGGAACAGAAGTGCACAGTTCAAAGTACGTGCAGGAGATGGAAGGGACAAGAGCTGACAACGGGCTGAAGATGAGAGGGGATTTCTGGTAGGACTAAGAAAGGCCGAGTCACTTGGTGAGAGGAGGAGGATGGCAGGACACGCCCCACTGGGGGTGCTCTCTTTCTCTCTCTGGTGAGAGTACCAAACCTCGGGCAGTAAAAAATGTTTAAAAATAAGTAAGAATCCCCTGCCTTCATTGAACTGGGGAGACGGATGGCATGTACATAAACCACAGAACATGTATGTGCTCAAGGCTACAGAGAAAATTAAGCAAGGAAGGGGATGGGATGGGTGGGCAGGAGGGGGGAAGAAGGTGAAGTCTCACTGATGACATTTTAGCAATGTCAATGCAGGAGGGGAGGGGCGAGCCATGCGGCTACCTGGGGAAGACGTTTCCAGGCAGAAGGAACAAGAAGTGCAAAGGCACTGAGCAGAAGTGAGCCTGATATACTCACACTCTAGGAGGATGGCATGGGAAGAACAGTGAGTAGAAGGCTGTGCAACTAGAGATAAGGCCAGAAGTGAGGGCCTTGGAGGTCCTTAGCATCAGTTTGGCTTTTACTCTGAGGGAAATGGGAAGCTGCTGGAGGGTTTTTGAGCAAAAGCTCTGATTAACTGTTTACAGGACCACTCCGGCCGCTGGACTGAGAAGAGACTGGGGGAAGACAGACAGAAGCACAGAGACCAGGTGGAGGGTGTTGCGATGATCCAGACTGACAGATGGAGAGAACTTTGTCCAGAAAGGAGTGGTAGAGGTTAACGTAAAGTTGCTGAAATCTGAGACTTGCTGGTGGCCTGGAGGTGGCATTTGAAAGGAAGAGAGCCAGGATGACCTGGCTCAAGGTCCCAGACTAGAGAATGGAGCCATCAACCTAGGAAAGTGGTCAGTTCAGGAAGTCCGAGTGCAGTGCCACGCTTGCACTGACTCTGACCTGCTTATTAGACACCCAAGAGCAGACAACTGGTGGCATGAGTAGGGCAGGATTTACTGGGTTTTCCACAGTTCCATTCTAGAAGGAGGCTCTTTCATGCCTTGAGGCCTTAGCCCAAAAGTTCCCTGGGTCTCGGGAGTCCTAGGGAGGACATGGACCACTGTGCCCAGGACTGTACCCCACTACACCCTGTAGGAACTTTGACCACTACCAGGAGACATGGCCACCTAAGTATTTCCCATTTGTCTTCTATGCAGACTATGAACACACTGAGGGTGGGAGGTGCCTCTGTGCCCAGCACCCAGCTGGGGCCCTGATGTGGAGATGCGCTCTCAAAGTGTTCCTGAACGGGGAACCAGCAGTTAGCATAATGGCTATGTCACTGGACTCCCACGTAGTCGACCGCGGTTCGCGTCCCAGACCCGGTGGCTTAAAACTCACACCAGGCGCGTGTGCATGCATGCCTAAGATTCTGAGAGGAGAATGGAGGAGAAGGGATTGCAGCGTGACCATCCCCCCTGGGGGGTGATTTCTCGCTTTCTGTCTCTATTTCTCTCTCTGTCTGTCTGGCGAGCGCATGTGCCCTGTAGCGAAAAAAAAAAAAAAAACTCTCAAAAAAGAAAAAAAAAAGTGTTCCTGTACGAAGGACACTTACCAGCACAGTCCACGCCTGGGGTGCAGGATCTGCCTGCTCTGTCCTCTAAGGCCACTGCAGTATGGGGCTGTGCACGTCAGGAGGACTTCAAACCCCCAAGTCCCCACAAAACCTGGGTGGGATGGGGTGTCGACTGGTCAAAGTGAGGACTGAGACCAGTTGTCTTTCCCATTCATTACCTGCACATCTTCTCCCAGCACAGGCATTCCTCCATTCCCTCTGCTGTTGCAAGCACCATTCTCTGTTTTGTTCCTCTTGGAATTTCTTCCTGTCATGGAAGTTTAAATCCTCTCCCATGAATTTCTGCATCCCTGACACCGTGTTCCGAGTATCATTATCTGCCTGCCGGGCTGGGAGGTCTTTCTTAAGGGCTAGGGGGTCAGACAGATCAAATTCACGGCGAGTTTCTGGCTTCTGAAAGCTCTGTTGGAAGTTGTTGATGGCGCGACAGAGATTTTTCCTGTCTCTCCTTTCCCGATCTTCTAATATACACATGATTTTGTCATTTTGCTTCATTTCAGCAGCTGGAATATATACAAGCATATCCATCAGCTTAAGACTCAGAGGAAAAAATAAATTTGAGTCCACTTTAAAAAGAATTTTTAGTGATCATAAAAATAATACAACCCCCCAAAAATAAACTATTAAAGGATTAGTATCCTGAGCATACAAAGAGTACCTCCATCTTAATTATTGGGTCATCGGAAAAGTTGGGATGCATTTTTATATGTTTTCCTATGCAAAAATGTATAAATGACTTTTCCAACGATCCAATAAAAAATAAATCAAACATTCAGTCAAAAAATGGACAAAGGATAGGAACAGGCAAATCACTCTAAAGAAACCACAGTGACTAATCAACATGTGAAAGAATGATTTACTTTATAAGAAGGGAAACATACAACAAATTAGAAGCAAAATATTTCAAAGGCATTAGCTAAATGCCTTAATTAAAAAATTCAAAATCCCAAACTTAAGAAAAAAAGCTTATTTATCTATCTATGGGAGGCAATGAGAAGAGATAGAAAGAAAAAGAGATAGCCTCTCCAGGTGGGGTCCCCACACCATGACATACCCCTAGCTTCAATTGGTCTGAGGCACATGTGCACAGTGAAATCCCAGGACATGAACCTAGGACCTTTCCTGTGTGGGTCCAGTTGTGCCACCACCTGGTCCCCCAAATTCAGAACTTTTAAAATGCTGACATGATGCCACAAGTGGGAAATTCTACTCCTGACCTCTTGTGACTGATTAGAGTTAAAACACTGTAATTATATATATATAATATGTAATTTTATATATATATATAAGCATAAATTAATTTATGATAGAGAACATGTGTGAGGGCATGCTCACGAGAGAAAAAAGTACCCTCAACAGCATCTCATCATGCCATTAGCCCCTTTCCCTAGCCCTTCAGTTCTTCAGGATCTTGGGCACAAATACATGACCTGTATGTTTCCAGGTCAACTGAGCATCCAAACCTACAGTCAGCCATGTGCCTTATAGCACTATAGTGCCAGCACTGTGCCACTGAGGCTGGGCCGTAAATAAATTTTGTCTTTACATATGCCCAAGATAGTTCATTATATGTAAAGAAATATTCCAAAATCTAAAAAAGAAAGAAAGAAAGAAAAAAACTCTAAAATCCAAAATATTTTTTGTCCCAGGCATTTCAGATAAGGAATATTCAATCTGTAATAGCGCACATTAGTAAGTATGTGGGGAAATAAAGATCTTTTATTTGTGACTGGTGATACTCTGACTTGGTATAATAAAGCAATTTAGAAATATCCCATAAAACTGAAACTCTGCCCACCTATGACTCATCAATTCTAGCTCTAAGTATCTCTCTCCCATGTACACTGGGATTTAATGTGGGCAGTCACTGTGGCATTTGCAATGAAAGTATGGGAAAGAACTCTAACCCAGTCACTAGCAGAAAAATGGATAAAGAAACTGGTTGGGACCAGCAGTTAGCGTAATAGCTATGTCGTTGGACTCCTATGTAGTCGAGGGCAGTTCGAGTCCCGGATTCAGTGGCTTAAACTCACGCCGGGCGCGTGTGCATGCGTGCCCAAGATCCCAAGAGGAGAATGAAGGAGAAGAGATTGCAGCGTGGCCATCCCCCCTGGGGAGGGTGATTTCTCGCTTTCTGTCTCTCTCTCTCTCTGTCTCGCTGGTGAGCGTACACGCCCTATAGCAAAAATCTCTCCAAAAAAAAAAAAAAAGGAAAAAAGAAACTGTGGTTAATTCATAAAACAAAATGTCATAAAACAATTAAAGTAAATATTTTGTCTGTAGATCACGGATTAACTTCAAAGACACAATGTTGAATGAAAGAAAAATGATCCATTCAACAGGACACCATTTTTGTTCTATAAAACACACAACTCACCATGTTATGTTATAAATACATACACAAATAGTACATATATTAAAATGTACCGGGATGTACATTTCTGAGGAAGAAGTCAATGGAAAGTTAAGAGGTGGGGAGAGATTTAGCTCTATATACAACACAATCCTCAAAAAACACTCTTAAAATGAGATACTGAAGTCAATTTGGTGCAATGTTAACATCTAGTCTGGTGGTGGGTACACACGTGCCTGCCATGTTCTTTTTGTAAGTTTGATTTACATTATAATAAGAGACAAAAAGAATAAAATGTTCGGAAAATACAGACTGGTATAAAGAAAAAAATTGTTACTTATAATTCTATTGCTCTAACATTTCCACTGCTAACATTCCTATATATTTCCTTTCTTCTTTTTCTATAAACGTAACTGATAGCCCATCATATGCACACGTTTGTATCCTGCTTCTTTCCATTTTAAAAATCCTCACAGCATATTTTTAAAACTGAAATTTCAGGACCAGCAGTTGGCATAATGGTTATGTTGCTGGACTCCCTTGTCGTCAACTGCGGTTCCCAGACTCAGCAGCTTAAACTCATGCTGAGCATGTGTGCATGCGTGCCCAAGATCCCGAGAGGAGAACGGAGGAGAAGGGATTGTGGTGTGGCTATCCCCCCTGGGGGATGATTTCTTGCCGCTTTCTGTATCTCTGTATTTCTCCAGTGAGTACA